TCCTACAATTTTTTGTTTATAACGTAGTTTATACGGATTATTTTCAAAAAAATATACGTACTTTGGAAATGTTGAGTCGAATTAGTCTAGAATCGATTAATTTTATGAAAGAAAGCCTTTCAAACAGCCGTAGTCCGTAAACTATGATTCCTACAAAATTGATTCATAAAGAACGGAACGTATCTACCGTCTTATAGGGGGATCTACTGTACATTATAATAATAAAAAATAAAATTACATTTCACGCCAATGTACAGTAATATATGATTAACACATCGATGTTGCAGTATTACAAGCAGTGATTTATAAAAATTTACATGTACTCACAAGTACTTTCAACAGCTTACAGCTGTCGTCCTCAGGCAAAAATCGAATACTATAAATTTCAAACAGTTAGCTTTTTAATGGACTATTTAAATTACATAAAACACACAGATGGAATTTAGAATATGTATTAAAATTGCAATAATTACTATATCTGTAGAAACGTGCTGTGATGACGTGATAACACCAAAATACATAAATTGCAAATAATGCTGCCATATTTGGCTCTGGTATAATTGAGAATGGAATTACACAAATGCAGCAGCATTATTTGCGTTTTATGTATTTTGGTATTATCATGTCATCACAGCACGTTTCTACAGATATAGTAATTATTGCAATTTTAATATGTATTCTAAATTCCATCTATGTGTTTTACATAATTTAAATAGTTTGTTAAAAAGCTAACTGTTCGAAATTTATAGTATTCGATTTTCACCTGAGGATGACAGCTGTAAGCTGTTGAAAGTACTTGTGAGTACATATGAATTTTTACAAATCACTGCTTGTAATGCCGCAACACCGATGTGTTAATCATATATTACTCTATGTTGGCGTGAAGTGTAAGTTTATTTATTTTTATTTTATTGTTTGGATTAAAACATTAATTATAGATAAGTGTTTCTTAAAAAATATAATAGATTAATTTATTTTTGTCTAAAGCAACTGTAAAATTAGCTTTAATATTAGACTTCTTAGTATAAAATCATATTGTGTATTAGCATGTTTGATATATGATATATAATCTATATAATATTCAAAGATAATATAAACTTAGAAAAAATTTTTTAATTGGAATAAATAAATACTAAAATTCTAAAGAAACTAATTAATATATGATAAAAACTCTACAACATAGAATAAACAATTATTAATTTATAACATCAAAGCCTGTAAGCAAATAATACATGAAAATGAAAGGTTAATATTTTTAAGACATACCATTACAGACATACCATTATTAAAATTTAATTTAAATTATACCTAGATTTAAAGCATTTAATTTAAATGTTAGTTTGTTATGCCATGTACCTTTCATTTATGAGATTTTATTAATTTTTTTTATAGTTTTGAATTAATAAACAAATGAATTTTGTGTATTTTCCATAAGTGTGAATGTACAATATTTATAAAATGATGCTATACTAAAAAGCTTAACATTAATTTTAATAAAATGTTAAAAATATTTTTAAAATTACTTTTTTAAATATTTAAAGATTTTAAATTCTATTCTTTTAAGAAATATAATAATGACTGGTGGATAGGAAGGTTAGTGAAAGAAGGCTGTGATGTTGGTTTTATACCTAGTCCTGTTAAACTAGAAAATTTACGGTTACAGCAGACTCAACCAAGGGGTAGCAAAATACATTCTAGGTATTTATATATTGTTTTTAATTTTTTGTTATACACATTTTTAACAAATAATGTAACATTGTATGAAATTAATATTCATAAAATATAAATTATCTATATAATAAAAATATCATAAAGCTTATTTCAATGATTAAATATTAAGGTTGGGGAAAAAGAAATCCATTATTTTGTCACTAGATGGCTGTAGTGATACATATCTCATAAAATATTGATGACACAAGTTCAGACTTGTGCTTATTGGAAAAGTGACATTCTGTACTAAAAAAAATTCTTTTACAATTTTTTGATTGGTCAATTCAGTTGTGAGTTATAGGGTGTAAAAGACGGAAGTTAACAAAGAGAAAATTAGGTATGTTTTACAATTTTGCTTCAATAAAGGCGAAAATGCAAGCCAGGCAGCTGAAATTGTGAATGGTGTTTATGGTCCTGATACTGTCACAGCCAATTATGTGCAATTTTGGTTTCGTCAGTTCCGTTCTGGTAATTTCGATGTTAAAGATGCACCTCGCACAGGTAGGCCCGTTGTCGAAAATGTCAATAAAATCATGGAAATGATAGAAGTAGACTGGCACGTTAGCACTCGTAGCATTGCCCAGGAGCTAAAGATTGACCATAAAACAGTTCTAAACCATCTGAATAAAGCTGGATTCAAAAAGAAGCTTGATGTTTGGGTGCCACATGAATTGACGGAAGAAAACATTATGGATCGAATTTCCATCTGCGAAGCCTTGGCCAAACGGAACGAAATCGACCCATTTCTTAAACGGATGGTGACTGGGGATGAGAAATGGGTTACATATGGCAATATTGTGCGATAACGATCGTGGTCAGTGTGGTGAAGCGGCTCAAACGGTGGCTAAACCAGGACTAACAGCCAGGAAGGTTTTGCTGTGCATTTGGCGGGACTGGAAAGGAATCATCTACTATGAGCTGCTTCCATATGGCCAAACACTAAATTCGGACCTCTACTGTCAACAATTGGACCGTTTGAAGCTAGCGATTGATCAGAAGCAGCCAGAATTGGCTAACAGGAGAGGTGTTGTACTTCATCACAACAACGCCAGGCCACACACATCTATAGTGACTCGCCAGAAATTCCAGGAGCTTGGTTGGGAAGTTTTGATGCATCCACCTTATAGTCCAGACCTGGCACCAAGCGATTACCATCTTTTTTTATCATTACAAAATTTCCTCGGTGATAAGAAATTGGCATCAAGAGAGGATTGCGAAAATCACTTAGTCAAGTTTTTCGCCAATAGGGAGCAGGGCTTCTACGAGAGAGGAATTATGAAGTTACCTTTAAAATGGCAACAAATTATAAAACAAAACGGTGCATATTTGATCCAAGTCGAACAACCGAAACCATGTTAAATAAAGACTTGAAATGAACGTAAAAATAATGGATTTCTTTTTCCCCAACCTAAAATATTATTTCATTTTTATATTTTAAATTAGTTTATTTTTAATTTTACTTGAAAATAATTTGAATTTACTAGATATAAGATGATGATAAATATGATTTATGCAAAGATGGTGCGATAAACTTATTAGAAATTAATTTTATAATTTATAATTGTAAAAACTAATAAAATAAATAGAATGTAATTGTGTTAGTCAGTTATAAATTTAGAATACTTTTTTTTACTTTAATATAATTTTTAAAATATTAAGTTTAATGAAAGCCATGAACATTAAATTTATCAAATGAACCATAATAATAATCATTAACTTTTATATTTGATCAGTAATTATTTTTAATTTTACAGTAGTTTAAACAATAAATTCAGATATATTTATATGTTACTAGATTTTTAGTAAGTAGTTAGAAATAAAAGTTAAAATTAAACTAAAAGTATAATATTCTTTAAAAAACCATGCTGTCACCATTCTTAGGACAAAGCTAAGACATCATGTATACATTTTTTGGAGTTATGAAATTTACTGAAAAAAATGTCAATATTTTAAAAATTTCTCCAAATATTTATTTTCATATTCATTTTTACAAATAACTATGAACCATAGACTATGAAATTGTAATGTAATGTTATGTATTGATATATCTTGGTATTATAAATAATTTTGACATTATTTATATTCTCAAATTGCATGTTTTGATGGCAAATTTATCATGTAGTATATAGTTTTATCATGTCTTCAAAATTCAAGATCATTGATCTTGAATTTTGAAGACATGATAAAACTAGAAAATAGAGATATTGCAAGACCATAAGTTTTGATTATAAATAAATATTTCTGGTATTTGATTATAAAAGCAATATTCATAGATATATTAAAATATATTTTACATTAGTAACATGAATGTTGGATTTTTAATTCATAATTATTTTTTTTAATTGAAAATATACTGATTTTACAAATATAATAAACGAAGCATAGAAAACTTGCTTTAAATTGCTGTAGCTAGAGTTTGTTTATGATAGGTGGTAGTGATCTTTCATATTTTTTCTTGCTTTTGAAATACTTAAAAATGTTAGAAATAATGTTAGAAAACAAATTGTAATGCATTAAGGAGAAATTTATATTCACTACAATCAAACTTCTACTGATCAATGAATAAAATAATGTGATAAATAATATACAGTACATAAAAATATGCATTTTAATATTAATAATGTAAACATAAAATGTTACACACTATAGTTGGATATTTCCACACATATTGAAAATATTAATAAGACTGAAACAAACATACAAACTATATGTATGATTAAAATTGTTTAATTACGAAAGAAATCTTAGTTTAGTTAGATTCTAAATATAATTTTTAATTTTTATTCCCAAAATTAATTATGAGAATTATGAGAATAGTATAAAAAGCACAATAAAATGATGAAATATTAAAAAAATACAGTTTTTAAGCATTAATATGTTTTGAGTTTAATCAAAAGAATATATAATTTTATTTTAATATCTTTAACATATAAAAGTGTATGTTGTATTTATATATTTACAATTAATCTTATCAGACATTAGTATTTTAGATACTTTTTTTTATTATCCAAAAATTAAATTTAAATTAGAATCTGTCTGAGAAGATTAATTGTTTAGCAATCATACATTTGCAGAAGATATTATAGCCAATTAATTTATATTAGAAAATGCAAAAGAGTAGTAATTATTTTAGTGCAATTTGCATCAAGCTTATTTTAAATTTTAGTAAAACAAGTTCATCTTCTAATCTTGGAGGTCTTGTAAATGAAGTTTTATCTAATTCTAAATCTTCTAACTCTAGAGGATCCACGCCGCCAACTCCAGGTATGTAAAATTATATATAATTAAAATATTATTTTTAATAATATATTTTAAGTCTTCATATATACTATAATATATGAAGATAATTTTGGACACATTTACACAATTTTTAACAATTTTGTCTGATATCAAATGTGAAATAATTCTAAATTTTATATTTGAAAATTAAATTTATTATATATGTTAATAAAAATGAAAAAATTTATTCCTTTTATTAGAAAGACAATAATCAACAAAATGTTGCTTTTTGTTTAAATGTGCTCAAAGAAGAAGAAAAACTGAATTTTTGTTATTATTCGGTTGGACTATATTATGAAAATTCAGATTTTGAAAATTTATTGTTATTAAATAAAAATTGATTTTATTTATTCTTGAACAAAAGAAAATTATATGTTTTGAAAAATTTGGAATAAAAGAATTATTAATGCAGCAAAAATTAAAATACAAGTTAAAAAACAATAATAATAATTTTTCTGTTTAGTTGATGTTTTAAAATTATTAAAGTAACCTGGAAAAAAAGGATTTCATTTATGATAAAACTTTGAATTCCTAACTATTATTTTTTAAGAAACATATTTATTTGACGTGATAATTCCATTAATTAAATATAACACCATTTTTTTTCTAAATTTCTAACATTTAAGGAGAAGTTTCTTCCTAAAAATGGAATGAGTAATGACTTGGCAAATTTCCAAATATTTGATTAACAGTAAAGTTATTTTATTATTCAGCAGTTGAATAATAGGTTACATTTAATTTAAAAATGTATTTAAAGGCTTAGGCAGTCTTATGTATAAATATATATTTGCTCTGAAATTTTAATAAACTGATGATAATACTACAGTAGAGTCCCATACAACACGGGGGATTCATTACGCATTATAGGAAATCACGTTATCGAAACCTGCATTGTCATACGATTTATGAAAGTTTAGACCTTGGCCTATAAGTTTGGGGAAAAAAAATGCATTTCTCTTTATTGACAAAATTCGAGGGTGTTGCTTGCTTTATTTGCACATTGTACAGGACTCTACTGTATTTAAATGAGAATGCTTCTGTCATCATATTATTGATATATCAAAAAGCAGAAATATAAATTTACTTAATTATTTAAGTTTTGATTGTTTTTTTTTTATTTTGCTCAATTATGTAATTGTTAAAGCATCATTGCAAATTTATAGTATAAAGTTGGATATACAGTGTGACCTTATTTTATACTTTTGATATAAGATTTTTTATTTTATTTCTCTTCCCTTTTGTTAGACAAAATATTTGATACAATGAATGCCAATTAATATATGTGAGAAGAAAATATTCTAATCAAGAGTGTGATGAGCTTGAACATTCCAATACAAGACCAAAGTATAAATTACTTGGGCAAATGTTCATAAAGCACTGGCTTGGTCCTTGCGAACCTAGGGCTTCCAATAAAGTTAACTTTCAAAAAAAAATAATAGTAATAATAATAAATTTTACCATATGAATGATAATTACAAATTACAATGATAAATATTAGTAATCGTTTGACTTTTCCTGAAGAAGGCTGATTAACGAATGGCCGAAAACGTTCAAATGTTGAATTTGGGTGTTTTGCTGGAAATTGTGTGTTTAGGTGAGCGTCTATATATATCATTCCAGTTTATTGTTGTGGTTTAAATATTAGTTATGTAAAAGTTCTTGGGATCTTAGTGCAAGAAGAATCCCAATTAGTGGCAAAATTATGTTTTTATTTTTTATCAAAGTAAATATTTTGTAATACTTGATTTCTTACTGTTCTCTCAATTAGTTGTGTGTCTTTCAGAATTAGCATGTTTTGCGTTTAATTGATCAAGGCCTCTGTATTAAGGACAAAAACTGGTCATCATAAGTGCTACTGGCAGCACAGTGTTTAATTCAGTAATATTGTTTGTATTTTACAGTATTACATTTGTGTTTAATTACCATATTTACTCACGTATAAGGTAAGGTTTTTATTCATTTTTCACTGCTTCAAAAATCTAGGTCATCCTATATGCACGAGCAAAGGATTCTTTGCATTTCTGCAATAATTTTTGTTAACCATGTATAGTTCATGCCGCCTTTATAGCAGGATGCTATCAAGGTCAAGGTGAATGTTGCTTTCAAAGAGATGGTCTGAAAATAGCTGGTCACTTAGCAATGATTATAAATGTAGTTATTTCATATTTGTTAAATTGGTATTTTTAATGAATATTTGCACATTTTGAATCAATAAAAATAAACTTTTTTCCGGTCACGTGCATTATAATCTTTTGGTTTTGCTACGTGGGTATCAGGTGCGTGGAAAAGCATTCCTGAAGAGCTGATAGCAAAGTCATTCAGGAAATACTGCATTTCAAATTCACTCGAGGATCAGAGGACAATGCTTTTTTGTGGAATGAGATTGTGAAAGAGGAGAGTTGTAACAAAGCTTCAGAGGACGAGTCTGAGTGGACAAAAGGTGATAGCATCAAGAAAACATGGTTGTTTGCCTTAATACATGCATTTGATGATATTTTATTTATGATTAAACAAAATAAAATTAGAATTGTATTAATAAATCTAATTTTCTGTATTTTGATTTGTAAAGTCACACCTCATCCTATATGTGAGATTGTCTTATATGCAAGTAAATATGGTATTTAAATCATAAGATGGTAACCTGCAGCTCTAAAGCTACTTGTGGCTTTTTGAAAATTATCCTATGCCCACTGTCCTACTATATTGAGGGACTTGTTTGGTAAGATAGACTAGAAGCCAATTTAATACTAAGTTTTTGCATAATGTTTATTATAGTTGTCTATATTCTACATTTCATAGATAAAAATAATGTAATACAATCTGTTTCATAAACAGCAATCTGTTTTTTGTCACACAGGATTAATTTTCTGAAATTATATTAAAAAATTATTGCATTTAAGGAGAACCTCTGTTTCTTTGTATACAGTCATTATCATTACAAAGTGTAAAAATTGTAAAGCTGTTTTAAAATCTTATGACTAGTAAATGTTTGAAAGTTGATCTAATGGGAGAAAAATGGTTATAAATTGGAGAAAAGCAAAGGGAGTGAAATGAGAGCACAGATTGGCAGTATAAGTCTTAACTTTTAGATGAGATGGTGATAAAAGAATTTTGAACTGTAATGATTAAATATGTAAAATATAAACAAAAAATAAGTGAAATAAATTTAAAAAGGTATATTAAGTAAAACAGCAGTAGTATGAAAGAAGTTAGGATATAGCAGTGCGGTTAATAAAGAAAGTTGGTTGTCAACTGTACTATAAGTGAGACTAGTGGCTAAGTTCCCACAGCTTAGTCAGTAGTGTCCATATGCAGTATATATAATATATGCTATATGCTTTTGCTTTTATCATGTAAACAAGCTACAGTTAATTATTTTTACACTTAAATTGTTGCTAATAAGCTTGGTGCTGGCTGAAAGAAGAAAAATACCATCACAGTTTTTTCAGTTTGCTCCTCTAGGCCCTTAATGATATATTCCTGGCTAGGAGATTGCTGAAAGCTGTCATTTTAAGAAAAATTTTATTGTATTTCTTTTAAAAAATTTGTTATATATTTACTGATTGGCATTTTATTCAAAATATGTTTGTTTCTTCAATTTCTTTTTCTTAAAAATAACTATCAGAATTGTCAATTTTGTTTGAACCTTACAAAAATAGATTTCATTAACTGAAGTTTTAATGTGTGATAGTGTAAAATTATTTTTTTTATGTATGTACTGTACTTCCTGCAGTTTTTTCTATGTAAATTTTAAAAGACTGGTGCTTTTCCCAACAAACATTGTCTAATCCTTATTTAAACAGATCAGTAAAAGTAATTGATTTTTCCTGATTATATTTATATAAGCAAATTATTTTTTGGATTCTTGTTTATTCAAAGAGACCTGGCAAGAGATTGAACTCAGAGAAATGTGAATACAACTATGCCTGTGCATTCCTGTTAGATTCTAGTCCCATGATTTTTGTTTCATTCACACTGTGTTTGTTCATCACATTTGATCTAATGCTGTCAGGCAATTTAGTAAACATTATGTTACAAACTCTTCTGTTGATGATTACATGATTAATTAAAAACTTTTTTTTACTTTATTTTCTGTTTACTTATTGTCTTAACTAACCATTTTTTATTATTAAGTAAAGAAACACCTGGTAACATACTGTACTTATTTGCTTCTCTTACATCATATTTGCTTCTCTTATTTCATATCAATTCCTTTCATATTGATGAATAACCTAAATAACATTTTTATTTAGTTTATATTACTTCATTTGGAATCATTGGCTGATAGATAAATAGATATTTTGTAGTATTTTAATGTTATTTAGGAAAAACTGGTCATCTAACTGGATATGCTGGAAACAAGACATAAATTTGTTATAAGAAATAATGGAAAATCATGCTTTAATTGATGAGGTTTTCAGGAACAAGACATACTTTTAAATTGAAGTTACACTGTATTTATTAATAAATTTAATATAACTAAAATTAACAAACAATTATTTATTGTGACATCATCACAATGTTGTGCTACAATTTTTAATCATTTTTAAATTTAAAAAAAACCATATGATTTCTAGTCTAGATCATAAGTTTGTATATAGTTAATTGAGGGTCCAGCCCTCTAAACTTTCTATATCTGATCTGGATTTTAGTGGTCTTGTCCTACGTCATACTACTCTTGATAAGAATCAAGTCATGCTGGTCATCTGTCTAACTCCATTATCAAGAAAATTTTGAATTGAAATTATGTGACTTCTGGAAGTTCATATATAGTTAATCAGTACTTCCAACCCTTAAGCTTTCCATATCTGGTCTCAATTTTCTTTTATTTAACTTCATTCTCAAGATTAACAAAGGTCAGACAAATGGATAATAGTATGGAATGTATAGGTCTGCAATTTGAAAATTGCAACCCAATATTTTAATGTGATATAATAGAAAAAGTTGTGTTGTGTTTATTAAAATAATGAATTATTAGCAGTTTTTTTATATATAAAAAATTTTAACAAGTTTTTTGTTACATTAAAAGCTTTTTATAGTTAAGCAAAACTGATAAGAAACATCCAAAATTAAAATATATTTTTTGCAGTGTTTTTTGTTTCATAAAAAGATCATACCATAATTGAAATATTTGAGTAAAAAAACTAGAAATATATCTTCAGATTAAATTAATTTTTAAGAATTATTAATTCAATACTAAGGCTGTGTGCACATTAGGCGTTTTCAAACACGCGTTTTAAAGAACCAAGAGTTCTGCATAGGCATACACACTCAAACACGCACTTTTGGCCAAGCGCGCGTTGATAGATTTTGGTTAGAACGTGCATTTCGCAGGCATCAGCTTCGTGCTTTGAGATACATGTGCTACCATGTTGTACATTCAGTTGCACTCTTTCAGATAGAGTAGACAACATTGGCCGAAATGGAGAATGATCATTTCGATACTGATCTATTTATTGATGAAATCCAAAAGAGACCAGCCATCGTCAAATGATTTTATAGACATTCTAAATAATTAAAAAACTTAGGTTCATATTGTCTTAGTTTTGGATACAACGTCACAAACATTCCATGCTCAGTCTATCTCGTAATATTGGGTGCACCCAAAATTCTCTTTGCCTCTGCCATCATCTTTTATAGCGACGATAGAGGAGCCAAGCACAAGCAATTACTTTCACATCCATTTCCAAACTAAGCCAGTGCAAACTGTGGTCGAACGCCGAGCTAAACGTGCGGTGTGTATGCTGCTAACGCGCGTTTAATGCAACACCTACGCCCAACGCCTAATGTGTACTAGCCCTAACCCATCACAGATTTTTTCTATAATTTTATTTCATATTTAATACTATTGTAATTTTTTTTTAGTTTTAACAGTTTTATTTTAGTAAACATTTTATTCTGTAAGATAGAAAATACTTTTATAACTTTTAGTATAATAATAATTGTTTATTTTTTTTATTTAATTTTTTTTTATTAAAACATTTTGCAATAATTACAGCTATTGAAGTTGACCAGAATGGTTTGGATTCCAATATACCAGAAGATAATGATAGTTTAAGTAATTCCAAACTTGGTAAACCAAGCATCACAACACCTCCAGCAAAAGAAAAGAAAAAGCCATTTTTCAAGAAGGTAAATTATATTTTAGCTTTTTAGGATGATTAAATAAAATACAGCATTAACTTGTCTGAATTTGATTATTCTGTAAATTTTTCAAATTCTTTCTATGTTTAAATCAGAATATTTAAAAGTAAAGTACATAAAGTAACAACACACCACACTGGGATAAAGTTAATAACATACAGAGAACCAATAACTGATGCAAAAAAATAAAAATGAACAAAAAAAAAAGGAGTTAACTTTTTATATTTTTTTTTACAGCAGTTATTGGTTTCGTGTATGTTATTAATACATAAAGTATTAACCACAACTCAAACTGGTCATGTATACAACAAATAACACAAAATCACTTAAGAAACCAATAAAAAACAGAAATATTTTATTCTACAATCATTTTCTTTCATCTACATCATCAGATATTCTTGAATATAAACTGACAGAATATATTTTTTAAATGAATCAAATTGAAAAAATTCCAAAATTCAAGAAACTAAGCAATTAATTTTAAAGAGAATGACTCTACAGCTTGGCATGCATTGGTTGAACTGATGTGGAATTTTGATGACTTTGTGCATGCATTTTTAAAAATTTTTGAATTTTGGATCTATTCTGTTCATTTAAAAAAGATGACCTATCTTATAATATAATTGAGATGGATTAATAATAATAATAATAAGCACAGAGCCCAAACGATTAGGAGTTGAAAGTTAAAATTTGGTACACAGTTAGGGTATGCCATGAGAATGTACACTGAGAAGGAATTTTTGGAAATTTTCCCTGCAGGGGAGAGGAAGAGAGTTAAGGATTACCATGAAGAACCTGGCTTCTACTGTACTATTTTAGATGATTTGCATTTTTGTGTGAAATTGAACATATTTTTAGACCCATCTAAAAATTCTCTAATTAGCCTCAGAAGATGGTAATTAATTCTTGCACCCAGTGAAAACGGATGATGATAATAAGTGCAGAGTCCAAACAGCTAGGAGTTGAAAGTTGAAATTTGGTACACAATTAGGATCTGTCATGAGAATGCACACTAAAAAGGATTTTTGGCAATTTCCCCCAAAAAAAGAGGAAGAGAGAGTTAGTTTTAGTCAGTATAAAGTGTAAATAATAAAGAAGGAAAACAAATAGTGGCACTTATAGTATATATTTTGGCAATTAATAAATATTTTAATCATTTCCACCTTTCAGGTAACCCAAAAACAATAAATCCAAAATAAATGAATTTGAACAAATATTTGGATTTGTTCCAAATTCGAAATATAATGTTCCAAACAAGTTTTTTTAGATTTTAGAATTTAAAATTAATCATTTAATTCAAGTAAGTTAATTCCCCATTATAATGAAATATTTTCTGACTTTTTTTTGGTTTTATTTTATAGGTTATTTAAATAAAAAATCTTTTTAAATACTAAAGATTTAGTCAGTTAAAATTCAGTAATGATTTTAATTTTTTTTTGAATTTTTGACCGTGTTTTAGTAGGATGTGTCATGAGAATGTACACTAAGAAGGGATTTTTGGAAATTCACCTCTGGGAAGAGGGAGAGGGTTAAGAATTACCCTGAAGAACTCGGCTTCTACTGTACTATTTTAGATGTGAATTTTTGCATTTTAGTGGAAAATTGAACATATTTTTAGACCATCTAAAAATTTTCTAATTAGTCTTGGAAGAGGAGGGACCTAATTCTTGCACTCAGTGAAAATGGGTAAGATCGACTATAATCTAATGATCTTAATCTTTGCTATCATTACTTTTGGCCCAAGCAACACCAGGCTCATCTGCTAGTCAATTTATATTTAAGAATACCTGATGATGATTATTGAAACTGAAATAAAACATTTGTAGCATAAAATATTTGTTTTTTTACTGATTTCTTATGTGATTTTGTATTGTTTGTTGTATGTACAACCAGTGATGACATTCGAAATATTTAACAAAGGGTTCGCTAACAGAAAATTTTTCCTTAACAATTTTTTTTTCGCTCAAATGGTGCATCGGAAGCCTCTAGTTTAGTAGTGTTACAGAGTATAATACGTATATTTTAATATTTTTAAAAGAATCAAACCATTGAGAAATGTTACATGTGTTTAACAAGGTTCTGAAAACTTTGAAAATGTTAACAACGGGTTTGGCCGAACCTGTGCGAACCCGCTGAATATCACCACTGCGTACAACCAATTTAAGTTGTGGTTAATATTTTAAGATAGTTATACTAGCCAAAATCTATATGAAAACTGTTCTTAAACTGTACAGAACATCTATGAAATAAGATTTCCTCATAAGATGTTGAGATCTAGGAATATTTCTGAGCAATTTTTAATATTAAACTTTCAGCTGATTGTTTTGCATTATGTTTCTTGGTCTGGAAGTTGTGCCTGAGAAAAGCCATATAACTGATGAGAAGACAAAAGTATACTTCAATAAATACAATTATACATTTAGAAAATATCCTTTACAGATTGGACTTGTAGGCTTTATACAATATTAACATAATAGTCACTGACTTAGCAGAGGCCATAGCAAGAAATCTTTGGGAAAAATATTAAAAGATTATATGGTTGATTGAATGACAATGTAGTTCATTGCAAGGGAACCAGCACTGTGATTTGATAGTATAACATAAACCCTCCCACATGTACTAGTTGATACGATTGTGCACGGTCCAAATTTTGCTCCTTCACCACCTCTTACTCTGACAAGTATCATTTCAGATGTGGAATGATACTTGTCAGAAAACATGAATTTCGCTGCTAAGGAATACTTTAGGTGGAAGGTAGCACTTCATATCCATAGTCATTTTCATGATCCTAACCTCTGGTTCTGTATTAAGTCCTCAAAGGAATGGTTACACTGTAACAATGTCATTACATTGAGAGCAGATAAGTCAAGATACAAGGGCTATTTTTTAAATAAGGTCCATTTGTGAATGAGAGTGAGAATGACACATGATTGCATCAGTGTGCATGAGCATCTGCTTTCAGCATGCTTTGCACGTGTTTAGATGCCATTTGCAGCCATATTGTCTGTGTACTGAACTGCCGAAGTCTATAATGTTTAAGAAAATTGAGTTGCCTGCCGACTGTAAAATACGATATGTTATTCGATTTCAGCATGAAAGATCATGGTAACTGTCTTTTGGGACAGAAAAGGGACTTTGTTAGTGGAATTTGTCAAGAGGCACAGCAATCAATTTTGATGCTTATTGTGACTTTGAGAAAACTCTGCCATGCAAGTCAAGCAGCATTGCCTAATGTCTTCCGGTGGCTGGTGGCAGATTTCTTTGAAGTCAGAATTTTAAAAATTTTTGAGTGGTATAACAAATGTTTGAACAAAAATGGAAATTATATAGAAAAGTAGATAAAAGTATGTAGAATATAGGAAAAAATATATTTTAATGATATTTACAGTATTTTTCTTCTTATTAAAAAATGGATCTTATTTAAAAATAGCCCTCGTACATTGTCATTATGGACCAGAAATAGTACTGCAGAGAAATTATGGATTACATTAATACCACCAAATGTTCTATTGCACTGGAGTTCATGGGTTCATGGAGAAGGTACACTCCAGGGTATTAAAACTATTGAACACTCCCTGGCACAAATTCTGAATTTTTAATCTACCATGGTTCCGCCACCTTCCATACCCAATGTTTTTGCATTTGCAAAAAAGCTCGGAAGACAGGCCAGCAATTAAGGCCTACATTAGATGAAATGAGATCATCTATGATTCATATGGAAATGAAGCTTGATGCCTACATTAAAGGCACATTGAATGAACACCAATGTACAGTAAAATTCCCAGAGGAAGTATTGAATAGGCTAAAGAAATTGGACAATATTGTTATAACTGTTTGTGATTTTGAATTAGCATTTCCCTCAATAAGACTTGAACTTTGTTTTTGTGAATTAAGGGACTTCCTCTTGAGTAAGATCAGGTACTCTGTCAGTCATTCTGTTTATTCTAGAACTATCACACCTAGCATGCCATATATTGTTTTTCAAGTTTGAAGGAGTTACTTATCTGCAAATGCCCATGCCCATGGACAAACACCCTATCTTTATGCAAGATTGTTATAAGAAAGCTGAAGAACACTGTATTTCTAGTCTATTTGAACCAAATTTTATTATATACAAGATATATAGATAAAATTTTGTTAATTTGGAAAGATAAACCTGACTTTGATACATTTCTTAAGGTGATGAATAGAACCCATATAGTTTCATGCGATTGTGACAATTTCTCACTTTTTTTTTTTTTTTTTTTNGAATAAAAGAATTATTAATGCAGCAAAAATTAAAATACAAGTTAAAAAACAATAATAATAATTTTTCTGTTTAGTTGATGTTTTAAAATTATTAAAGTAACCTGGAAAAAAAGGATTTCATTTATGATAAAACTTTGAATTCCTAACTATTATTTTTTAAGAAACATATTTATTTGACGTGATAATTCCATTAATTAAATATAACACCATTTTTTTTCTAAATTTCTAACATTTAAGGAGAAGTTTCTTCCTAAAAATGGAATGAGTAATGACTTGGCAAATTTCCAAATATTTGATTAACAGTAAAGTTATTTTATTATTCAGCAGTTGAATAATAGGTTACATTTAATTTAAAAATGTATTTAAAGGCTTAGGCAGTCTTATGTATAAATATATATTTGCTCTGAAATTTTAATAAACTGATGATAATACTACAGTAGAGTCCCATACAACACGGGGGATTCATTACGCATTATAGGAAATCACGTTATCGAAACCTGCATTGTCATACGATTTATGAAAGTTTAGACCTTGGCCTATAAGTTTGGGAAAAAAAAATGCATTTCTCTTTATTGACAAAATTCGAGGGTGTTGCTTGCTTTATTTGCACATTGTACAGGACTCTACTGTATTTAAATGAGAATGCTTCTGTCATCATATTATTGATATATCAAAAAGCAGAAATATAAATTTACTTAATTATTTAAGTTTTGATTGTTTTTTTTTTATTTTGCTCAATT